GCCACGTTTGCAACGAATATCAGATTCGCGATGTATATCAAATGTTGGTTTGGAAGCTTTACGGATTTTATTCTACTCGTACTGATGTTTCTTCCGTTTGGAGGTATGTGTATATTATTACAGTATGTTTTATTTAGGCTATCTATCGAGTCTGTCTAGGCCGAGTAACGGCATATAAACCTAATTATGCATTTACGGCTTTTCGTCCTCACACAAACGATGTACATGTACACGACAATCGTTAACGCACAAGTTCGTATATGCCTTTAAATAACATAGCCTATTAATTTTTGACGTATCACTGATGCTTACGATGGCATGAGAAAGATACTTATGTCAGTCGTATAATTTGTCAGTTGGTCCTTGTCACTTGGTGAAGCGTGGACCTTTCCTGACCTCCCTTCCCAATTTTAGGATTTATTGGAGTGGTGTGGACCAAATCCTGAGTTTGGCATTGTTCCGCTACTTATTGGGCTTTTACTTCCACATGTCACTTAAAGAGGCTATGTCAGCTGGAGAGCATGTGCGCTGAGGCTATGCAAATTACTGTCAAAATTCTATTGCTTTTTACGCGTCACTTTCTCTGTCACGTCCAAGGCTCCGAAATTTACAGAGACATTTACAAGCGAATTGGGTTTGGATAAGGGATATTTTGATAGTATTTACGGAACGTTTCCTCTCTGTTTATGCTAGGTCAAATTCCCTCAATTTCTTCCTCAAGAATAAAAGTGTTAAGACAAATTTACTTGTAGTTTTGAAGTAAAAACGCATGCCATTCATAAAAATAGAGAGCACAAACAAAAATTCAACAGCAGAATATTGTCGTACTCAACAAAATAAATCAAAGTTGTATTATAAACGACCTACAAAAGACTCTAGACCAAACATAAAGGCCAAGACTGTTCATTGCCAGAAATCGTGGACATTTCGCGCCCGTGATCAATTGTCAGCGGAATCTCGTTTTTAAAATGGCGGACAAAAACTATCGTAGTCAGGGAAAGCGTATCCCTTGCGATTTTTTAAATAATTTGAGCTCTGTGGATCTGTTTTACGAAGAAAAAAGCTGGAATTAAACACCTTGCAAGAAAATGTTAGGTTTATACGCGGCCGAGCGGCTGATAGCAACAAAACAGTACGCGGATGTACCTTTCGTGACATTTTCGTGACATTTTCGTGACAATTTTGTTTTAAAACCAAGCCTGGTAGGCTAATCGAGGATTTTTGAATGCCTGGAACCTAGTTTATATCCCGTGAAGCATCTCTGGAGTTGTAGCAACAAACAAAATGGCGATTCGGTGAGGTTTGGAGTTGTGAAGCTTTGTCCGACCGAAATGTGTCATTCGCAACCATGGCGTCCATTACTGGACTACAGATGGAAAACTGAGGGAAATAATGCGCCTTTGGAAGTATTTTGCAGTGCAAAAATCGTCCTTTTAACGACTGTTTTGGAAACATCTTCCATCGCAGAAGTGATATCAAGTCGGGCAAATTTACTTCAGTGAAGGGTTTATCCTCTAATCGACGAGTATTTCGCATGACTTCGGCAAGATTTTAAGACAATGTATGGAGAAATGGAGCGTACAACAAGGAATAAAAGTGGCCACATCAGGAAGTAAGTAAACCTACTTCTAATTAGCTATTTTTAACCCAGATGCGAGGGTTACACAGCACTTAACATGTTTCGAGTCGGGCACCGAACACCCGTGAGCTTATAATCGATATATTTGAAAAAGTTTCGTTATCTCCATACATTTTCTTATACGAATTCGCAGCCATTGTGGCCTTAGTGCGCACGCGCAACCGCCATCTTGTCCCTAATTTCTGGCAATGTTCAATGTCATTAACAATTAGACTTGTCTGTCACTACCGATTTTTTTAATTTAGCCCCTAAAAGAACAAAAGAAACGCTGTTTTTGATGTCTTTGTGTTGATCTTAGGGTAACACACATTGATCGCACATAATTGTTCGATCGTGCCGAATCACTGCGACGTCGAGAAAAACAGAACCAAGTATCATTGGTATATTACTCCACTGAAAGCAGTCCGTCAGTCCTCTGCTATTTTCCAAAAAAATATACTCGAACTCAAACAGTTCAAAAACATGGCATTCACAGGATCTAATTCGTACTGAACGGATTCTCAAAAAAGAACGCTGACGTTGAAAGTATGTATTCGGATTCCAGTTGTTTTCTGACAAACGTATTCAGAATACCAGCATGACTAACCATAATTTTTGGTATTGTAAAAATTTTTTGGTGATTTAGGATAGAGTTTAAAAAATCACTGATGCAAAATATACAATTTGCTGGTTGTTAACTTTAAGAGCAGAGTTTTATAAAAGATCACAATTTACTTTTACTTCTTTAATTGGTCCTGCTTTCTCTTAAATAAAGTCACGCGCGCTGCTTCACACATGAAAATGCATCAGTTTGCTTTTGTCCAAAAATGCCCCACACCAACGTCCACTGCCTTACCCCTCTCCCCACTAAACGTCCAGTTG